TACTGCAGATGCTGTGAAGGACCCAGGCTAGTACACTGCATAAAGCATGCATAAAGCATGCACCATATAGTGTACGCAAGACATAAAAAACTGCTAGATGTTAGAAGCAACTGATTTTTGGCAGAGGAGACTTGGCATGTGTAATCTGCCAAAAAAACTCTACTTTCTAGCAGTTTTTTATTTTTATGTGTTCTTCCGCTTTAGGAATATTCTAGTATAATATGTGAATATGCTAGGTCAAAATTCTCCAAAATTTAGTATCTGGGATTGCCCTGAGCTTGTTTAATATAGGGTTGTTCAAAAAATTAGATATTTAGGAGGTCCTGAAATGAAATGAAGTGAGAATCTTAATTTCAGTCCACAGTGATCTGGTCAATTTCAGCATGTGCAGTTGGTGGTGGAGGAATAATTGGGGTGCCTCCAAAATTATCAGCAATTATCTGGTTCCAAGAACGGTGATATAACTGGGTGCCTCCATAAAAATCAGCAATTGTCTGGTCCCAAGGACACGTGCCAAGTGTGCTTCTGAGTTATGGGTTACTTCAGGGAGGAACCATGTAATTAGGTGTTTTAGTTGTCCTACCAACTATTATAAAAATGTAATGTTGGCTTCTTCTGCTTTAGGTCATTGAATCTTGGTCAGCTTAAATATAGGTCTAGTGGGTCATATAAAGGATGTAAATGATAAGTTCCTTGAAAAATAATTTTGGTACTGTCACAGGTATACGAGTGTGTGTATGTATGTGTATACAGTGTATATATACACTATATTGCCAACAGTATTGGGACGCCTGCCTTTATATGCACATGAACTTTAATGGCATCTCAGTCTTGGTCTGTAGGGTTCAGTATTGAGTTGGCCCACCCTTTGCAGTTATAACAGCTTCAACTCTTCTGGGAAGGCTGTCCACAAGGTTTAGGAGTGTGTCTATGGGAATGTTTGACCATTCTTTCAGAAGCGCATTTGTGAGGTCAGGTACTGATGTTGGACGAGAAGGCCTGGCTCGCAATCTCCACTCTAATTCATCCCAAAGGTGTTCCATCGGGTTGAGGTCAGGACTCTGTGCAGGCCAGTCAGATTCCTCCAACCCAAACTCGCTCATCCATGTCTTTATGGACCTTGCTTTGTACACTGGTGTGCAGTCATGTTGGAACAGGAAGAGGCCATTCTCAAACTGTTCCCACAAAGTTGGGAGCATGAAATTGTCCAAAATGTCTTGGTATTCTGATGCCTTAAGATTTTCCTTCACTGGAACTAAGGGGCCAGGGGCCTGAAAAACCATCCCGCACCATAATGCCCCCTTCACCAAACTTTACACTGTGAACAATGCAGCCAGGCAAGTACCGTTCTCTTGGCAACCACCAAACCCAGACACGTCCATGGGATTGCCAGACAGAGAAGCGTGTTTCGGCGCTCCAGAGAACACCTCTCCACTTCTAGAGTCCAGTGGCGGTGTGCTTTACACCACTACATCCGATGCTTTGCATTGCACTTGGTAATGTAAGGCTTGGATGCAGCTGCTTGGCCATAAAAACCCATTCCATGAAGCTCTCTATGCACTGTTGTTGTGCCAATCTGAAGGCCACACAAAGTTTGGAAGTCTGTAGCTATTGACTCTGCAGACAGTTGGCGACTTCTGCGTACTGTGTGCTTCAGTATGCGCTGACCCTGCTCTGTCATTTTACGTGGCCTACCACTTCGTGGCTGAGTTGCTGTTGTTCCCAGTTGCTTCCACTTTGTTATAATACCACTAAGAGTTGAATGTGCAATACTTAGTAGCAAGGAAATTTCACAGAAAACCTGAATCCAATGATTTTGAGGGGTGTCCCAGTACGTTTGGCAATATAGTATGTGTATACCCAGATAGCAAGCAATTGAGCTGCAAGTTTGAAAATGAATGCCAAGCTTCACAATTTTGTTGCACAATTACAGCAAGTCTGCATTGCAAGTCTCCAGACTAGCGAGCTTGCAGAGCTCTTGCTAAGACCTGCAGGACTCTTGCTGTAGACTTGCCAAGCAAATTTTGCTACAAATTCAAAAAGTGTCAACTAGAACTTGTGCTGCAAGTGTTCTGCAAGTCTACAACTTGCCAGGAATGTGTGCAGCAAGTTAACAAAATTAAAATTTCACCCTGCCACAAGTTTGTAGCAAGTTATCCTTGCTATCTGGGATATTCACTGAGTGGCCAGATTATTATGACCACCCCATCAGTACTTCGTTGGGCCACCTTTTGCCTTCAATGGTGTGGCGATTCTTCTTGGCATTGACTCCACGAGATGTTGAAAGGTGAAACGAGGAATCTGACACCATGCCTAAAGAATAGCACTGTCCAGTTCTGTGAGATTTGATGGTTGTGGAACCAGCTGCCTGATGGCTCTTTCAACTTTGTCCCACAAATGCTCAATTGGATTGAGATCTGGTGATTGTGAGGCCACCTAAGCAAGGTAAAGTCTCCCTCATGTTCTTGAAACCACTCCTGCACAATACGAGCGCCATGGCATGGCGCATTGTCTTGTTGGAAGAAGCCATCTCCATTGGGATACGCCATCAAAATGATAGGATGAACTTGATCAGCAACGATACTTTGTGGTGCTATTCAGATGTTTTTCCACATGAATTAAAGTGTCCAAATCATGCCAGAAAAACATGATCCAAACCGTAGCACTGCCCCCACCAGCTTGAAGGGTTGTACTCATGCATGTGGGGTGCATGCTTTCATGCTGTTTCCGCCAAATTCTCACTCTGCCATCTGCATGATGCAACTGGAAACGTGATTCATCGGACCACATGACTTTTTTCCAATGCTCGAGTGTCCAATCCTTGTGTTCCTGTGCGAATTGGAGACGTTTTATCTTGTTAACTGCAGACAGCAAAGGTGTTCAAACAGGCCTTCGGCTTCCATATCCCATACAATGCAGTGTGCGGTGAATAGTGCGTTCAGAGATCATTTGAGAGGATCCCTTTGCCCTTCTGTTGTCTTGTACCAGTCATGCCTACAAACGTCAGGTGGTCATAATAATCTGGCCACTCAGTGTGTGTATATATATATATAATTTATATTAGGTATGCACCGATACCGAGTATTTGGGCAAGCATTCGGTCGAGTACAAATGCTCCCGATGCAAGTCATTACATGGTGCCCGGCTCCCTGATTGGGAAGCTGGCTCCATGCTGGCATCTCGGCCAATCAGGAAACCGTGCACCATGTAATGTCTCGCCACCCGGCTTCCTGATTGGTCAGGGAGCTGGCCAATCAGAAAGCCTGTCTACAGCCAAGGTGAAAATGCTGGATAAAGAATTGCAGAGGACAAGAATGAACATACTGGCTATGGGCAAAGCACACGGCCCTGATGGACTTATGCTTTGCCCATAGCCAGTATGTTAATTCTCGTCCTGAGACAGTTGATGAAACTCTAGTGCCCCAGGTAAGACTGAATGTCATTTTAGTTTTTTGTTTTTTGTAGTGATCACAGAGATATACATTTGTCTATAGAAGTACAGAAACAATTCAATATGCCTTTAGCATCAATTATAGTTGCTGTGAAAAGGGATTCAGCATTATTAAGGGTGCACCTTAATGAAATGCTTTCAACGCATGCTGAAAGGTATTATTGACATTAGGGTCAGTGTGAGCTACTTGATCCTAGTTCATTTTATTACTTTATTGCTGTGCTGTATGTGTATAGGCCAATGTATTTGGATGTGTATATGCGTTATAATTAATCAAAATTAATCGATTAATCGATTTTAAAAAAATTCGATTCATCGAACAGGAAATTTTTAATCATTACCAGCCCTACTAAAAACAATTGTAAATGATATAGGATGCAGCAATTAGTCCCTATTAGAACTAGCCAAAAGGGGATAAATTTTTAACCTAGCCATAAGGCCTGCTGAGTGGAAAGCAAGGTATAGGAGAGGTGAGCAATGATCAGAGATGTCTCTTGACATATAAGTTATAGAGTCCAACATTTTCAGGGTTTTAATTACTTTTACATGTTTAAAATGGGCAATGGAGAGAAACCAGGAGACTACTTTACCATTATTCACTGCACATGAAAAGTAGCTCACGGGGCCCTGCTGTTGACTGTATTTGTAAGCATTGATAATAATGAAGATAACGCTAAATATTCTAATGCTTCCTATTGCAGTTAATTGTACACATATGCTTCCAACACTTACTCCACAGGATTAAATACACATCTTTAGATAATCAGGACTCTGTGTAAATGAAACACAAGTGCACTTGCAACCCCTGCATAGGCTAGCCTTATAGACCAATACAGATATGATGAAAAAAATGGCAAATCCAAGAGCTCTTTGATGTATACTGACAGTCGGTAGATATAATAGATACTAGTGGCCTTCTGTAATAAATCTAGTAAAAAACAAAATGAAGTGATTTATAGTAACTTATTAACTCATCTCAGAAAAAAGGTCTTATATAACATTTTATTTTTCACATGTACACTGCATGATTGCTGATTACCAAGAATGTTTATTGCAGTGCTGTAGAAATAGATAGTAGAGCTATCACAGTTGTCAGTCATTTTTTATCCTTGGGAGCCCATCTGCCATGTACTGTATGTTCTGCCCATATATATGGAGTATAACCAATTAGGTCCTGTAGTGAAATAAGTGACTGTCATTTTAGATTATAAAGGTGGTCAGTACACTAATATGGCATGTTCTGTTTCTGAACACTTGAGCTAGAAGCCAATATATGTGCCCCTGGTTAGAGGCAGTTTGACTTTGAATTATCTTGCTTTGCATGTAATGAGTCTATCTCATATATTAGTTTCACCTTTTAAGTTGCATTAGTGAAATAAATGAACTTTGCACGATATTCTAATTATTCGAGTTTCACCTGTATATCATTATATTGTACCTGAGTATATTATTATACACATAGTACAGTTATAAAGATTGTTATAATAATATTGTCATACAGTTGTTTTTTTCTCAACATAATTCTAATGTTTATATCTTGTTTCCACAGATAAAGAAAATTAACAGGAACTTTCCTGTGAATCAACAGGTATGTGTAGAAATGCAACACAAACACAGACATTGTCACACAATATTATCACTTTACTATTATTGATCAATGTGTGGTTTCAACTCATCTGACACAGATGGGCTTACTTAATAAAACAGTGCAGGGTGCCGCATTTAACACTAAGTGCCAATTGTAGTACGCCTTTCTATTCGGTATCTATACTGTACTGGTCTGGACTCGGTAAGCTGAATTATGATTGGTTAGTGTATGTTGCTGCCCTTTGCTCATTTCTTAAATATATGATAATATCACACTAGCTATTACTGATATTAGTCTTCCTTTTTGCTTCACAGTTCAGAACGTTTACGTATAAAAACCAAGGGCATAAAACTATGAGAAATAAAATGATTATCTTTAAATTACATGTGAGGTTCTGGTAATTGATATCTGAATGACAGGGAGTGAGCTCAGCCCTGGGCAGGCAGGACTTGATTGAGAGAAAGGTTAATGCTTGAGTTTAGAATCCAACTGGTTCCACGGGGGCTTGGCAATTAATTTATAGACTAACAAAGATACTTTTATGCACCACAAGGTACCTATACTTCAGCACAGAGGAGTAACTAGCAACCTCAGGGTCCCGGTGCAAGAAAGAATGAAAGGCCCCCCGTCTCGGCAGTTACCAGGCCTGGGCCCTCTTCTTCCTTTCTGGCCCCCGCCAGATAGCGGGACGCCAGAGCCGGTTGCACATGCGTCCTCTGCGATCCTGGTAGTTCCACCAGTGCCATCATTAAACACAGCCACTTCTCTCTGTTCAGTTTTGTCAGTCATGGAGCACAGCACCCACCATTATCTTTCCTGGCTGGTACTGTGAGCCATGGAGCACAGTACACTCTATCATTTCTCCCTTCCTTGTCCTCTCACACATTACTCTCTGCCCGCTCCTGTCATCGCAGATACATTAACTGCTGCCTTCCATCCCACTATGGCTCCCATAGGCTGCCATCCCCGACTGAACTCAGCTGCACACCGAGCCCAGCACACCCCGCACCTGTCTGGCTCTGTCATACAGTGACTACCAATCACTTGATGCTTCCTGTCATCTGACCCTCCACACGTAGCCCCAGGCGGAGACTCTACAATATACACAATCACCTGGCCATGTTACATATGTCACACATGGCTGTCTGTTACTCCATCACACCTCGTACTGTTATCACTTCCCATCCTCCCCCATTGCGAGACACAGCAGTGCTCCTCGCTGTCACAAAGTCAGCTCAGAAATCCGGACCATGAAGAGTGTACTACAAGAAACGGTGGCACCGAATGCCAGGACGACCTCTGTGACCATGGTAGTTCCGCCAGTGCTTCAGCACCTTTGTTACCCCAAGTACTTTTTATGCTAAGTCAGGTCCACCTAAATTATGTTTATTCTGTTGTGCACTGTTTCCAGCAATACATTAGAGATGTTTGCTGCAAGTGCAACATGAATAAGTATGGGCAGGCATAAAAAGAAATAAATCTATGTTGCAGGTTAATGTCTTACTAGGTTGATTTTAAAGAAAAGAATAACAACCCTGGAATATGCACCTGCTATATTCTTGTCCTGATAATTCCCTTTATATTACACAGTTAGGTGCCCTGGAAGAGATGTAATGATAACATGCTACAGTCTGCCAGGGTCATGCTGACTATATGAAATACACTGGCCGCCCTATGCTGACCATATAGGACACTTTGCCATTGACCTGCTGACCCCATGGCTCTGCTAAGAAAACAATGGACATTTTAGGAACCTTGCTGAAGACATGCTAAACAGAACAACTCTGCTAAGGACATTTTTAGATTCTGCCAAGGACATACTAAGCACTAGGGGCACTCTGCCACTGGATCAATTGGGCAGACACATGCTCGCTATATAAATGACTCTCCCAGACACATGCTAACCACATGGAATACACCAATAAGGACATCCTGAACACCATTAGCACTGGCAATGACATCCAGAACCCAAAAAACACCCTTCCACGGACTTGCTGAGGAAATGGAGCACTGTGAAAGGGACATGCTGAGCACATGCAGCTCTCTACTAGCGACATCAGCACATAAAGTATTATGCTAGGGGCATGCAGAGCACAGGGTATTTTTTTTGAAAGGCACTTAATAAGGGCCTGGAACAGTGTGCTAAGGGATATGCAGAGCACACTGGACATTTTTTCAGGGACATGCAGAGCATACTGACTAGACATGTTCGATTCAATTCGTTCAGAATCGAAATTCGAACGAAATTTCGGAAATTCTGAGATTCAGATGTATCTGAATTCCGAATTACAGAAATAACGAATGCAAACAAATCCGAATTTCCGATTCCGAAATTCGTTAGTCTGGACGAAATGTCGTTTGTTGAACGAAATTCTGTTGCAGCAAAGTGACATAGAGGAAAATAAAAAAGTGTGATGTTCCCCCCTAATTAGGAATGTTAGGAGGGACCCCCCCAAGTTAAGACAAAAAACAAAGTGTGTGGGGTTCCCCCCAAGATCCATACCAGGCCCTTTAGGTCTGGTAGGAATTTTAAAGGGGAACCCCAGCCCCCCAAAATAGGAAAAAAAAACATTCCTACCAGACCCTTGATCCAAGCACTGCTCCGCCCATTTGACATTCTCAGCTGTCAAATACTACATAGCTTTTGGGAACTCCTGAATGCTATTCGTGAGCTCCTAAATGCCCTTCGGGTGTGTGAGCCGAGGTGTCATATAAAAAGTATTAAGGTGGCGTCTGGGTGACCCCCGAATTAAAGGGGCACTCCGATGCAAATAAGCCCCCTTGCCAGCAGACCACCACAACCACCGGGTCAGGGTTGTGGGGAAGAGGCCCTTGTCCCCATCGGCATGGGGACAACCTCCCAATGCCGAGGGCACATGGTTTGGTAAGGGGCAGGGAGGGGGGGTGCTCGATCGCCCCCCCCTTTCCTGTCCTGCCGGGCCAGTGCTCGGATCAAGGGTCTGCTAGGAATGTTAGGGGGGACCCCACGTTTTCCCCCATTTTTGGGGTGCTGGGGCTCCCCCTTAAAATTCCTAACAGACCTAAAGGGCCTGGTATGGATTTTGGGGGGAACCTCATGCACTTTGTTTTTTGTTTTACCTTGGGGGAGTCCCTCCTAACATTCCTACCAGACCTAAAGGGTCTGGTATGAATTGGGGGGAAACTTCATGCTTTTTTTTCCCCCTCTTCTGCAGACTGTAAAAAAATATGTTTTTTTTCCCAATGTCACTTTGCTGCAACGAGCGAAAACTAAATTTCATCCAGACTACCGCTAACGAATTTAGTCCGAATCCGAATCCCGAAACGAATTGAATTTCGGCCCCCAATCCCGAAAAACTAAATAACGCAAAATCTGAATTGAAGCGAAACAAATTTTTGGCCGGTGCACATGTCTAATACTGACTACCTTTTAGAAGCATGCTAAACAAATGGAATTTTCTGCAAGGTCCTGCTGAGCAAATTGCCAATTCTGCCAGAGACATGCTTAGTACATGAAGCACTTTTGAGAGTATAATATGACATATTGAACCATGAGCATATAGCAACAGATAACATCTTCTGTGTTGTGACGCAAATGTGTACTGTCATATCTTCTATTCTGTATATATGACACTCCTATATATGAAAAGAGGTGCACTTTGTTTTAACATAATTTCTGCAAATCAGCTAAGCACAGTTACAAATATTTTGCAGGTAAGATCACAGTAATGTGCTTCAGATGTGTATTTAGCTGTCTGGCTGCAGTATCACTTCCCGCAATAAAGCTTACTACCATTATGTAAATGTCTCTATATTTATGGAGACAGTTCGTTATTTCCCCTCCCATTTACATTTTATGTGAAGCAGAGTTGTTGCCTGTTATCAGGCATTCAGGGCTTCATGAGGCTTACCAGTGGATGTCATCAACCTTCGTAAGTCATGTTACTTAACATGAAGTCAGTGTGTTAAAAAATGTCCTTCTGACACAAAAATATTTTCCCTCAAATATCTTCACTTCTGATAAGCTCCTGATAAGATGTGAAATTGCTGCTTCCAGCTGGTGGGATAAATGTGCCACTAGACGTTTATCTTCCCTAAGCATTCATTTGGTAAAAGTTTTATAAAATGTGTAGGCTGGAAGCTGAGACCTTTCTACACTTACATATTTGGATTTTTTCGAAAGACTGTATTTACAAAGTGTTGCACATTTTAACTACTTTGAAAGGTAAATAATTGTATGCTTACACAAAGCGGCTTTGTTTTAGCCAGGACATGTTTTGTTACTGTTCTACATTTCCATTATTTCTTATGTACTTGTGTATCGCTAGTGATGCTCTTGTCTGTCTATATGCATACAACCTTTGGTGCCCTAGGTAACACACCTTCTGTTAAGTTAATATTTTCTTGTTTTCCTTCCTTCCTGGCTGAAAATATATCAATGGTGGGGAAAAATGTATGGCCAAAAATTAGAGCGCAATAGTGCATACTGTGTCCAGGGCTACATTTAGGCAAGGAAGAAGAAGAAAAAAGTTGTGGGTGCTGGATCCTTTAAAGCAATAGGTGTTTTCAGTAAGGTCATAACCAGTGCAGAGAGAATAAATATACCTAGGCAGCTCTTCCAGGACTGGTCCCAAAGGCCATTTCTTTGTTTGAGTAGGTACTGGATGTGGAAGAAGGAAAGATTCAAAAGCAAATCATAATTTTATTCAGACTCTTGTATCATAAAAATCCAGTATGCTTTGGGTTTCAAAGGGTCCCCTTATCAATGCTTGGTTTTGTTGAATGTAGCATGTACTGGACTGATATCACTGGAAGGATCCTGAGGGGCAATCAGAATGATCATTTAGAAGCTGGTTAAGCCTTAAAGATGAGCTCCAGGATGTATTAAAAATAACCCTTGCAGTGGGGCTACTCCTGCACTGCAAGGGCTAAGTGCTTGTTTTGGTCTAGGAGCGAAAATAAAGAAGATATACTCACTTGATCCTCAGTCCTGTGGCAGTGACGGTTCACCTGTGTCCCCC